TGACTCTGTAAACCGCTTAGAGAGGGCTGAAAGCCCTATGAAGCCGTATATAAGTCTAACTGCTATTGCTATTGCTAAATATGTTTTCTATTGCACAGTCAACTGGATGATGTCACCTCTGTGACCTCAAATTGTATACTCCAAATGTAGGATATACAAATCTGGACAATTACTAGATAGCAGCAGCCTACTGTATGGATGCTATCTTTTAGATCCCCTTTAGAGCTTTTCCAGATTTATACGGTCTAAGTTTTATAGCCCACCTTTGAGTGCAATTTCATTATTTGCCCTTGTACGCTCTATAAGCTGCAGCAGAAGCGCAAACCACTTTCTTTGGCAATGAAGGCATCTATTGTCTGTTGCGCAAAGCTGTGCTACAAGGGCAGGCAACAAGCTCATCCTAGCAGCATAGCCGAAAAGGATAGGGACTCTCATCCGTGTTGCCGTGACAACGCAGCAATGTGTTCCATCTGGCTTTCCCCTCTGCTGTGAAGCAGGCAGTCAGGCTGCCCTCAGAGAAATGATGGATAAAACTGCCTGTTGCTCACCTGCAAAACCAAAGGGGTTCTTTGCGGGATTACAAACCTTTGCAAGAAACAAAGGGTCTAAATGATGTTAGACCTCCACTGTTGTCTCACTGTTCCCCCAAAGGGACACATCTGCATTGGGGAAGGGAAATAGGTCTCCTCTTTAGGTCTATTGTATAAAAACCCAGGGAGCATCCTTTGGCTAAAGGAAGAGAAGCCCCAGGAGCCTTCTCTTGCCTGCTATGCTCTCCTCCTTCCCCAAGATAAAGCCTTTATTGGGAGTACCAGCAAGTGGGGGGGCTTGGTGAGGAACAGAACTTGTGCTTAGAGTAGAACAGCCGGGAATGGGAAAGGTTGAAAGATTGCCTTATCCTTTCTCTTCTCTAACTGAGATATACCTCTCAATGTGCTCTGGACTGCAAATTTAACTGGGGTTATCATACTGAGGCTTCCAAAGGAATCAAAGGAATGCAGTATCATATCCAATAGCAATAGCACTTACACTTATATAGCACTTCATAGTGATTTACAGCCCTCTCTACGTGGTTTACAGAGTCAGCATATTGCCCCCCAACAATCGGGGTCCGCATTGTACGGACTTTGTATGTATATTCAGCCACAAATTTGGCAGATATACCTTATTGGGCTGCTTTCTAGAAATTTTACTATTCAGACTATACTTTGTCAAACCCATGGAATCTCATCCCAACATGAAAGCTTTTGCACTTTATTTTCAAAACACTTAAGCACCTTTTCAAGCATACTGTCACAATCAGTGTTGGGATTCAAATAATTTAACAACTGGTTCTCTGCCTTAATGATTTCTTCCAACAACCAGTTCATCAAACTGCTCAGAAAGTAAACAACTGGTTCTCCTAAAGTGGTGCGAACTGGCTGAATCCCACCACTGGTCACAATCCATATTTTTTTTCTAGAAAGGTGCTTAAGTAAAACTGTCCTC